ATAAAATATAAAGTATAAAATATAAAATATAAAATATAAAATATAAAATATAAAAAATAAAATTAAAATTAATTACGTAGTAACTTTAAAATTGTTAAATTCCTTGCATTAGTAAATAAAATATCTACTATAGCAGCTTTGATAATTGTATCATGAAATACTTTCCGAGAACTTTAAAGTCATAAATACTTGAGATTTTAATGGCAAATTCTAATGAATATTTCAATAAAACGGTGTTATCGATGGCTGAAGTAGATGTTGAAAAATAATTAAATACAATACATAGTTGCATTTCTGTGTGGTTATTTAACACAGACAGTGTAAAGTCTATTTATTTTAGTTGTCCAGTTATTGAGTCAACAACCTGTAATACAGGCGAATATACAGATGGAATTCTAACTAGATAGGTCTTGATCAACTCAACACTTTGAGCCAATCTAGTATCTATGTGCTATCTGGCCATAAGCCATCTAGCTTCATTTCAATTGCCTGCTATATGTGCATTTGCATGCGAGCATTTCGCCCCTTTATGCATTGCCAATGGTGTTAAGAGTATGAAGAGCGTAATTCATTTCCATTTTTACGCGATGCCAGCCATTTTTCATCCCCTCGCTTACAATGCATTTTCAATTTTCCAATTTCAACAGCTCGCGCGTTGTTTTTGATGCATGTTGGAGCGTTCGTTTGCTCGCGGCCCCACCGGGCGTATGATTAATATTATTTACTTAAAAGCAAATGCCACGCCTTCCGTGGCATACTAAGCGATAACGAGTGGGGCAGCAACCACAGTGGGGCGCCTCGAGCCAGCCAGTCAGCCATTTTCAAGAGCTGTCAGCGGAAATGAAGACGTGGCAACTGCAGCGCCGTTTTGCTCGACATTGAGTTACGTTGAGTTAACATCTGATGGATTGTCAGACATTCAGAGGGCACTATGCGTCAGCGAGCGTGTCTTAAGTACTACCAGCAGTGTAATTGGTTGTTAAGTAGGGCAAAAAGAAAATACATAAATAAGTATAATGATATACATAAATAGGGATATCAAAGTTGAGGCTTAGTTCAACGGGGCACATGGCAAATTGAGTCACCATTTGGTGATTCACAGGGTCACTTGAGGTGAACCACAACTTTGATAAGCCTTCACTTAATTTATGGCCGTTTTACCTTTGCCTTTGTCTTTCACTACACTAATTAAAAAACCGAAAGGCAACTATGAGTAACAGGTGATTTATTCAATCATTTTGTGATAGTATTTTCAATAAATTTGTTTGCGATAATTAATTTTGCGTTGTTTTTGTGTTTGTCTTTTGTCTTTATATTTATAGCACATAAAGTATTCCCCATGGTGGCTATTCCTAGAAACACTCAAGCAGCTAGACGGTGGCATTCTGGGAATTACATGTTCTTCAAAGATAACATTTTCTAAAGAATGTTACGAATGTTTATTATATGAACCTTGCTAGACTATATGGGAATGCTTTTCTATAATCTTTGTAACATTGATTGCTAAGTTTATCTATGTAGTGCAGTAGCTCTGATAATTGATAATTTTCTAGTAGTGAATTTAGATCATCCTACAATCAATCACACCTTGCCTCTTTACGCACTTTTTCCAGCCTTAATCTCAGATTTACTTCATTGTTTATTGATTAACATAAATCTAAAAAATCACGCTTTTAATACTTGAACGGATTCGAGATTTCAGATAACTTTATTACGTATTTGAAATCCCCCAAGAGTATTCAGCGCTCTGTTAATTTAATGCAATACTAGTTTTCAAAATTTATTACATGACAATTAAAATACGATTTATTGCATTGTAAACATTTTCGATTTATCAGCAAAATAGTTATCAATAAAATATAGTACGCTGGACTTCGTCGCTTTTTGAAATGGGTCATGAATCGCCAAGAATTTAGAATGAGGGGCTAGAGACTTCGACTAGGAGATGCTCTGAACTCTGTGTGCAATATTAATAGTATGCAATGTATATTTAATAAATAATATACAATAATATATAATATAATATATAATATTGAATATAATTCAATTAAATGCTGTAGAATTTGTTACTTGGCTCGGCAACATGATCTAGATCTGTAAGAAGTCTGCCTCTGTAAGAAGTCTGCCTTCCGTTACCTGTTACATACATGCTCAAAAAGTCTGCCTAACCCTGCTCAATGACTTCAGTGTATACAAAAAATAAACATATATGTGCTTAGCGGAGATTTCGGGCGTATTATGATTTTAAACCTCAGTCATATCAGTTCATAATTAACAGTTAATACCAAAATATTTAGGACTTAAACTTTGCTTTATCCTTATCAGTAGAACTTTGGATGCATAAATAATATTGATATATGTATACATGAATATAAAACTTGATTCTGATTCATAGGTTCGCTAAAGATAATAGTTGAATTGAAGAACTGATATCGATAAAATTTCTAGACACCAATTTAGTTTATGGCAGATTCGAACGATTTTCCTTCAGTTCCGATAGGTGCTCTGTGGCTATAAAGTCGATAGCTATCAGCGTGTAATTAAAAACAAAAGACTAAACATAATAATAAGCCAGCTAGTGGGCCAGGCAGATAACAGCCATAGCAGTATTTGGTAATAATTCGTAATGAACTACGCGAACCAATATAATTTCCGATAATTATTTTTACAACACGCATTACGTATACGCACTGATGTCACTGTTATTTTCATATATACTTCGATATATACATACATATATATGTCTATATACATATACTACAATGCAATTTGGCGCGGACTGAGTACACACAACAAATTGTTGTAAGGCAATAACAAAAGATTTTACGATTGCAATAACAAGAAGTGCGCGCAATTAAACACGCTCTCGATGTGAATGGAAACGGATGGATGTGGATGGAAGTGAATGGATGGATGTATTGCCTGTTTGGCTTGTGGGTGGCGGCTGCTCCTGCTGTCGCATTGTCTGCGTGGCGATGTGAAACCGAAATAGAAATTGAGTTCGAAATAGAAATCGCAATTGTAGTGCGGATCGTTCCGCTTGAGTGGGAGAGCCATAAAAACTCGACCGGAGTTGGCGGCATGCGTTGAGTTTATGAAAGCGCGTGAAATTCAATTAAAACGCATGCTCAATATTAGTTGCAATGCGTGACTGCTGTCTAAGCCATAAACAAGCTTATTGAATACTATGCAAGGGCACACTGTAATAGCGACAATGCCCTCAACAACTACAGCAACAACAACAGCAGCAACTACCACAGTGGCAACTCCTACTGACAATTTTTGTTTGAATACCCTGTACGCTTTAGATAATGAGGTAGTGCTACTGTAAATGATATATTAAAGTTTTTAAGACTAAACAGCTAAAAGATATATCTCATAAATCTCGCGACTTACTCAACAAATTAGTGGGATAGGGCTGCATGATAATAAGTAAAAGTGCTTAGATAAGATTGTTTCAATCACAAGATTTAATCGTGCTGAAACTTACATACTTGGCAGCAGAGTTCTCGAAGAATTTAAAGCCGAAAATTTCTAGAAAAACTACTTGTTCTTATGATTTTTTGCTTATCAAGCCTAAAGGCAAGATAAAAGTCTGTGATCATATCTTATTCTAAGAGTAATAATTATATATTATATCCAAAACACAATTGTGGGAAATTTACTTTGAAAGCCCCATCTAAAACCTCAAGGAACTCATTTTAAAAAATCCTTTGCATGTTTACTAGATGAAATCTAGGTAAATCAACTTAACAGAGACCTTATTTTAATTGCCATCCAATTACAGGGTATCTCGATACACACACAGCTCACAGATTGCCTCTTACATTCCTCTGGAAATAAATTTTACGCGATAAGTTGCCG